GGGGCAGGCAACAAAGAGGTCCCCCCCCCCCCCCCCCATGCCCCTTCTACCTCCTTGATATCCAGAACAAGTGCGGCCGCATGATCAATTCCGTGCTATCGGCGTGCAATGCCGACGGGCTCGCAGTTGTGTCCGGGCGGTTGTCTCTGCGTCAGCTTCTCCCGCCGAACGTTTCGCCGTTCGGAGATATCACCACTGCTGGCGGATGGGCAGGCTTCACTGGAATGCAAAAGTGGATCCTGTCCAGCATCTTCGGCCTGTTATTCGCACCGATATTCGCAGACGTCAACTCGATGGTTCGTGCATCTTGTGGACTTAAACATTTTGGTCTTCGTTCGCTCTAACCTATCTATCGTGCGCCTACCTAGCATAGGACAACAGCGCGAATCGATTACGAGTGTTTGCTGGATTCCGGCCGCAAAACGTGGGTGCGTTATCACACCATCTCGGTTTCACGCCAATTCCTCTGTCCGTTCCTTCATGTGCATTGCCTATCCCAGGAGAAATACGTGCGCTCCGCCGAGGTCGAGGCCGTGGCTACCCGGATCAGGTCGGACTGTGACACACCCCGTGGCAAGGAGAAGGTGTGCCGGGCTTTCCGAGATCTCATGGAAGCATCCAGTGCGAGCACGTTCATGGTGCGCCTTGGGTCGTACACAGACGACGAGCTGAGGGTGCTGGAGAAGTGGCAAAGAGAGCAGGTGAAGCTAGATTTCCATGTCTGCTACGTTTGATCAGTTGTTTTTTTCTTCCGAAGTGTGCCTGTAGCACAGGGCCTGCAGAGGGGGATCCCCACACTAAGTGTCCATTATAGTGTAGAACGCTCGATCCAGCCCTTTCGCGCGAACTGCCACTGGGGAGCCATGGCATATAGTTCGGTTCCCCCAGTTGGAGTCCTAGGTTTCGCCTTGGTCTGGTATTTTACTCTCGTTTCTGCGACTACCAGGGCATTCGATGTACATGCATGGAGTACCGGAATCCGATAATATAAAAACATGCTTGTCTTTGCTCTGTTTTTTAGTTGCATCGCCGGCGTGGATATGTTGGCGTCGACGCCCGACGGGCTGTTTCGCATTCGTGCTGTTTGTTTCTGGGCCCTTGGTTGTTCTCTTTGGTTTGTCCTAGAGTGTGCCCTCTTTGGGTATATAGATAGCTTCCAAGCTGTGACCACGGAAGTCGTCCGCGCCATCTGTACTCGTAGGGATTGCTTCATATTGGAGGCAAGCAGCAACAACAACAATCCGAAGGCTAAGATCCGCTCTTTGATTCTCGGACCCTACTGACGAGGTACCCCTCCCTCCACTTCCGTCGCGCAATTCCACGCTCCTACTTTGTACTCAATCAGGTCTCAGGATGGGGATACGCGTAGATGACATTCCGGTGCTCTACAGATTCTTCCCCTGTTTTTTATCGACTTCTCTAGTCGCGGGTCTCGTTGGGCGGAGTCAAGCGGGAGGGCGGGGGAGGCGCAAGGAGTGCGGGATGGGAGCGGGATGGGGGCGGAAGGCCACGCCGCGGGGCTGAGCTGCTGTGGAAAATGATTCTGCTTGCTTTAGGACGTGTATTGTCGGGGGCAGCCTCTGCAAAAAGCACTTCCGGGCCCACCAGAGCCTCTTTGGGGGACAGGCGGGTCGGGATATTTTCGCGAGGAAGGTCATGGCAGGATAAGGGCACAGCCACTACGGTATGGCCGTAGGCCGCCATTTTTTCGATTGTCGTGGTTGTCTTTGGTGTTGACCGTAAGCATAGCGTCAGGTTGGAAAAATGAAGTACTCGGAGAGGCCTAAACGTGTGTGTTTGTTTGTTTTTGTAAATGCTTCTGGAGTATTTTTTGGTTTTGGGAGAAAAAAATATGTTTTGCGGGGATCGAACTCCCGACCTCCTCCTTACTACGCGTATCATACGCCTTCGCGATAAATTTTGCGCTTACTTTTTTTGGTTTCGGGAAGAAAAAAAAATTCGCGGGGACCGAAGTATCGACCTCCTCCGTACTACGCATATCATATGCCTACGCCTTCGCGAGAAATTTCGAAATTTCGCGCGTAATTTGTTGATTTTGGGGAAAAAAAAACATGTTTTGCGGGGATCGAACTCGCGACCTCCTCCTTACAAGTACTACGCTTGTCATACGCCTTCGCGATAATTTTCGCGCTTACTTTTTTTTGGTGTTGGGAAGAAAAACAAATGTTTCCCGTGGACCGAAGTACCGACCTCCTCCGTACTACGCATATCATATGCCTATTCCCTCGCGAGAAATTTCGAAATTTCGCGTATAATTTGTTGGTTTTTGGGGAAAAAAAAAAAGTTTTGCGGGGATCGAACCCCCGACCTCCTCCTTACTAAGCGTATTTATGTCATTCGCCTTCGAGATAATTTCGCCCCTCTCCCCGGCGTACTTTTACTACGTGCGGGATCCCCCGGCTTACGTGATCGAGCTCACGTTTCGGACCTGAGGGAGTACCATATATTTTTTTGTTTTTGGCCCAATCATTATCCTCGTGTGGTGTACTCCGTGTGTGTGTGCTTCGTAATCCTTGTGTGGGATTGTTCCTGGCCTCGACGCGAAGGCTCGCGTCGCTGGGGTGATTGTCACCCAGCTGCGGGCGAGCTTGCACCCATTTGCTTTGGATCGAGGTTGCCAGCCCGACAAGGCAAGGTTAAAATTGATTTCCTAATCCGATAGAAAACCGGCGGTTGGTAACCCAGCATGGAGAGGTTATACAGCGTATATCCAACCTGGGCAGGTCATGCGCGGGCATAACCTCCCATAACGTGCCCCACCGGCCACCTGTGCCTGTCTAGGCTAAAATAAACAGAGCCTGGGGGACTCTGCGTTGAGGCAGCACAAAGTGGACACCATTCTGTGCGCTCTGCAGGGTCTCCATGCCAAATTCGTAGACCATGGACCAGTCACGGCCCTGGTCAAAACGTGGTAGAACCGAGTGTGGCCCGTCCACAAGTTTTCATCCGAATAAAATTGTGCCGTCGCTCCGTTATTTCATGCCGAGACGTACCACAGTTTCAGTTGAGTCCACGAGCGTTGTTTTTGTCGCCCTGGGGGAAGCTCGGTTACCCTGCGACAAGAACACAGTGCAAACGAAGCCTATATTTCTTGTTTCCTTTCCATTTTCAATATCTGGCTGACCCAGTTGGTGCCGGTTTTGCCAAGAATGCGCTCGCAAATGTACGGAGTAGGCACCTATATAACACCTTGACTTTCCGAAACCTGAACGGTGTTGCCAACAGCGACCGAATTCACTGGAAAATAAAGAGAGTGGCCGTAGGATTTAAACTTCTATCCCTCAAATATAAAAAAAAGCGAGTATGAACAAACGGCTAATTGTTTTCATTTGCCTGGGTGAAACCAAAGGTTCCCATGTTCCGTTGAACACAAATACAAAGGGTGAAAAGTGCGCCTCGCAAAGAAGCACACCTCGGACTCAGTAAGTCGCTACATGCACGAGAGCTCGCCCACTCGTCTTGTCCAGAACACCGTCTGCAAGGAAAACCTCTCCGTCTACATGTACATCAAAATAGCACACACCATCGACAACCCCCTTTCTTTCTACGCTCAAACATCAACAACCGGAGTTAACCGTGCAGCTCTCTTACTCGTTCTTTCCGCCGCAACGCCGTTTTTCCGGCGTGCGTCCCCGCCCAGCAACGGCTCTCTTGCAACTACAATCTCGTCGAAGGTCTCCATCGCTTCCTCCTCCTCCTCGCCTCCCGCACCGGCATTTCCTCCGCCCCCCTCCATGCCGCTGCCACACTCCGACCGAGACGTGAACGTCCCGAACATGGTAGAGTCCGGCGGAAGCTCCCCGAAGTCTTCCTCCCCGTCGACCCTGTCCCCGCCAGCGGGTATTGGCGCCGAGCGCACGGCGGCCTTCATCTCCGCCGAGGTGTAACGGACGATGGCCACAAAGGACACGACGCAGGCCACGCCCAGGGCGGCGTAGACGCAGTACCAACCGGTGCTCGTGTAGGTGAAGAGCGAGTCGATGTCGTCCACGCTGCTGATGAGCATCCCGGCGTACACGGCGATGCACGTGAAAGGGAACGCGCCCACCATCCCCTGCAGGTAAGCTCGGAACGTGCAAGAGCTGAGACCGAGCCCGTAGTTCAGCGCATTGTAGGGCGCCATGGGATTGATGCGCAACCTGGCGGCGCGTGCCGGGGGTGGTGGCGAAGCGGTGTTTCGATGGCGCGGGACAGGCAAGGGCTCAAGCCGGGAGAAAAAAACTCTTGCGAACTTAGTTAACTTCGGCCAGACTGTTGGTCAGGCTTTGGTTGTTCCGAGGTGGTGTGAGACGAAACCGTCCGCGCCGCAACAAGGGTCTGATCGCCCGGTAGGCAAGTCAACACCTAGGAAACCGAGGGCGCATGCGGTGTTGAAGCAAGCCAACAGGCGCAGTACCCCGACGGGGCAAGCGGCGAAAACATTCTATTCCCACATAGTTTGCAACCTGCTGCTGAGGCCAGTTCGAAACGAACACTTCGCAGCATGCATTTTCTCACTCACAAGATAATGATTCGGCGCCCTTTGTGCTTCAGAGCATGGTCCAGGCCTGTCATATTACGACACAGGGGACATAGCGTGTGGCAGGGGGCGTATCACGGAGGAGGGGAGAGGATAAGACACTACAGAGTAGTGCGCACACATGGCCAGGTACGTACGGATATCCCTCTCCAAACGACGGCTCGGTTGTCGGTGTAGTGCTGCGGCGAAGCGTTTGGGAACGATCGTTCACACAAAACACCAAAAAAATCACATCGCATCACGAACATGACGGATACCCGTCCGCTGTGGCGGAAAAAACACGGCGGCGATTCAACAAATAAAAAAATTAATGCTTTCGATCGACGACATGTTTTTCTCTCGGGAAACCAATTCCCGAACCCGGCCGACGTCGGGCATGCCCGGGAGGCAGCCCCAACACCCGACACGCAATAAATAACTGTTTTCGCGGCGCCGGCGCCTCCTTCATCACCTTCGAGGATGGCGAAGTGCTTGAAGAACTTGCGCGTACACGAAGGCGGGAGGACACTCCTGGCCAGCAGGAAGGCGATGGATGCTCCGATGATGAAGGTGACCAGGGACAGGTTCAACGCCACGGCGAACGCCAGGTACCGGTTACGGACACGGTCTGCACACGCGTAGCCCGCCGCCAGGAAGAGCACCTGTAGAAAAAAAAACACGAAAACATGGCAAGAAGGGGGGTTGGTTTTTGGTTGAGTTGGTGGCGCAAGTACGACGTCGGTCCGAATTCCAAGCCTTCCTCCGGAAGCGTGGTTGACCCGCAGACACGCCAACCGCACGTGCTTCCACATAAAGCCAGTCGGTTGGGGATTTCTTTGCCTCATACGGAATAAAGACAAGACGAGATCACGGGGCGAGGGGCAATGCCGGTTCTCCCCGCAAGTTAATGAGGGGTTGGATACACCAAAACGCCAAAGCCAACAAGCGGACGCGTGTCCAACAAATCAAAAGTAGCTCTACGGTCGAGCGCACCAGTTTCAGAGCAGAAAAAAATAGCCAGCAAAGCAAGTGGAGTCAGCGGCGGTGGGCAACAGCGAAACGAAACCGACTTCTCTCCCATGTGCCTTTCAGCACGCGACGCATGTGCTTGAAGTGAAGCTGACGAGAGACACGTAAGACTTCCGACAACATTTTAGGCATACAGCAGCACACCGTTTCACAACCAGCACGTAGATGAGGCAACACTGTTGTAGACGTCACGTGGGAATAAAACGGGCGGACGAACAGCAACTCACCTACACTCCAAAAGACGAGTACATTCAACATTCACGTGTGTACATCCACCGTCTAGACTTCTCTCTCGTGACTTGCATGTAGATCACTCGCGTTTGGACCAGAAAAAAATCACAACGGGGGTCACAGAGAACATCACAAAGAACACGCCTAGAGGAGGGTAGGCACACACACACGGGCTCCTACACGTACCGTTTGAGGCAGCAGCATGACGATGGACAGGGCCCCGAAGACGATGAATATCACGATGAATGCGAGCATATTCTCACCGTCTAGCCAGGTCTGCGAAAACACACGGACGAGGTCGGCGTGTGGTGAAAGGGTGGGCGGGTGGGTGTATGTCAGGAATGGGGGCCCCGCAGCAAGAGTACGCGGGGGGGGTGGGGGGGTGTCTTCTCCCTTAAACCAGGAACCAGAGGTCTTTCGCCGGTGACGTCCATATATGTACGCACACGGTGCTTCGCACGCAAGTGAACGGGTGCTCGAGGAGGCGCATCCAGCCCGTGTGCACACGAGTGGGTTGGACGACTTGGCTGGATGGTCTCACCGGCACATCGCACCACACCTTCCTCGGTGTCCTTCTTCCTCTCAATCCTACAGCAGAATACCCCCCAGCTTCTCTGACCCTCCACTTACCAAGAAATCTTCTGTCGCGTGCAGCGTATAGCAGGCCGTGAACAGATCCACGGTGGTCACGACCAGAACAGTGACCAAGATCGCGCAGAAGAGCACCTGTTGAAGGCGTTGGCCGGCGGGCGGTTTTCGCACACGGGAATAGAGATGAAAACGCACAGCAACAAAGGCAGGTAGGGGAATCCTCATGCCAGGCGGCGGAAACAGCGGCGGAGTTGGTTCCTCAGAGATGAGACTGGCCGGTGTTGTTGGGCTTTAGTCCTTCAGGTGACCAACTCGACTCCAATACACGCAGCAGCTCTACCCGGGTGGGACATGCACATACTTTGGGGGGGGGATGGGACGCGCTCAGGCCGGCTAGCGGTGTGCACAAATAACGTGTCGAAAACAATACCAGGACACTGCTGTGCCCCGTCAACATTTGCGGGCTCTCGAATGAAAAAAAGCTCCACCCAATATCCGCGGGGGTGGTGTCGAAGGTACACGCGGTCCTTGATCAAATAGTCGTGTTCTGGAACGTGAATTGTGTTTCCGCGCTCGTGCGAAGAGGAAATCATGGCGGCGTGGGTCTTACAGGATTTTGGGTTTGGAAGAGGCAAGGCAGGTGATAAGTGAAGTAATAATAAGCGTTGGCGTTCATCACATGTAATACTTTCGCCGATGAGGCTCAAAAATTGTTGACAGGATGGAAATAATTCCTTCCGTAAGCATGTGTCCGCAGGAATTTGACTTCATGATCGACGAGGGAAAGGAACGGCTGGATCCTTCTCGCGATAAACCTCGGAGGCAAGAACCACCGAAAGAGGGAGGACAAAAAAATCCTGGGTGACCCCGGCTGGTGCGTCCAAAATTGTACCAGTACACCTAAGAAGTAAGGACGACGACGTCCAGGCCACGGCAAGATAAATTAGAAGCTGGTAATGGAGTCGATGGGTGGAGTTTCCTAACGACCATAAATAACGATCTGTCTACCAGAGAGACCCACGGGGCGATACACACGGCAATCAGTACCTCCGGGGGCACATAGCACGTTTTTCGGCGTGCTGTTTTTGGCTTGTGGATGCGAGCAAAGGTTTGCGAGGGTTTGCTTCCAAGTGAAGTAATGGAGAACGGAGGGGCCATAATCTACGAAAACGATCTACGAAAACGAGGGTGGAGGGAATGGAAATGGAGGTCGTCGGTGCATTGTGTCCACAGGGTTCCGTCTGTTGTTGCGGAGAAACTGGCGGTACATCCGTACATCCGCGTCAGCTCGATGAAGGCGAAAAAGGTAGCAGCGGAGTAGGGAAACGAGTTATCCAGAGTAATTATCTTGAAGGAAGCAGTACGGACGGTGGCGACCGGAGGAGGAGAGCGGAAACAGCAGACCGTTGTGCATACAATAGGGAAGTATCTCCGGAAGGTAGACTACCACATACCACTGCTGTACGGCAAAAGGTGTCTCCGGAGACAGGTCTGCTGTACACTCTTGCGAACGTAGTGGAGAAAAAAAATGTGTTTGGCGCAGGTGCTCTGTAGTATCAGTTGAACCGGAAAGGGATCCAAGGTAACCCCAACAAAGCGTCGAGAGGATCAACAACAATATCCGAGCGGCTTCCACGAAAACTCGCTCGAAAGGGCAGCAAACGACCCGCCTACATAGTACTGCCAACAGCCAACAGCAGTGCCAACAGGTTGCATCCACAGGAAGCATCCATGCGAAGGAAGGATCGACCTCAAGACTCTTCCGTCTCCCTAAAGAGCAAGTCTCACCTGGGTCCAGCTGGCTTGGACATCTCCGAAGCAAAGCTTAACTCCACGCCCGTTTTGGGCCATGGTGGCCAAGAGACGAGCTACGTGTTTCGTAAGTCACGGTACAAAAAGTGGTGCACGCTCATCATCAACGCTCCCATCCGGGCGCTCAGGAGTCTACGGCGGTAGGGGGTAGATGTTGAGAATACCCTACCCCACTCATTGTTGTTGTTCTACTCTATAGGGCCCCATCCGCATTTTGATTTTGCTCAACTCCTGCAAGGCTGTTGTACTAGCTTGTTGCACAACTCCGGTGCTCTGCTCTGCTCTGCTCTGCTCTGCTGTGCTCTGGTGACGATGGCGGCGTTGGTTGCCGAGGAGAGATGGGTCGGAATAGATCTAGGTGGCGATCGAAGTACCACGGTTTTGCGAAGCGGTGAGTGTCGGCGTCAACTCAATGATACTGCCACTCATCACACGAGATCTAATGCGTATTACTGCTGTACAGCAGACGTATGTGAACACTGTACTGCCTGTACACACCAGCGTTGCTCTCTTGTTTCTCAATCATTCACAGGCTCTCATGCGTGCGCTAAGTAATACCCGGAGGGTGCCCGGATCTCTTTTCGATAACCCCCAACGCTGGAGAAGACAGCAACAGCACGGCTTAGAAAGTCGTCGAGGTGGCACGATAAAAAAACTCACGTGTGGCCTTCCGCTTGTGTGCGACATATCTAATGCTGAGTGCTGATGCGTCCAGATAACACAGCATTCCGCAAAGGTTGAAAGGTTGTGTGCATAACAAGTCCAGAGTATTTGGGGATCAAACCTACATGCACACACGCAGATATGCAGAAATAACAGCGGCTGCTCTGCTGTGAGTACAATGCAAGGTGTGTTTGTAGGTCGCGGAATGTCTTTCCCTCTGTATCTCATCTCCCCGCCCCCTTCCTTTTCATTCTTTTCTCCGCAGGGGAGATCATCCGCTCTGAGCTAGGTGGCCACGACACACCCAACCTGGTGGCGTTCAAAGCCCGAGACCGGAGTATAGGAGAAGCGGCCGTGTCCATGGTAACTAGCGCGCCAACGAGCACGGTCGGGGTTGTGCACACGATGGCTGGGACTGCATACAGGTATGCTTATCCAAACACGCAGTGCCGACACGGTATGGCCGCTGGGAATGCCGTACAGCAGTAGCTGTTCCTTCCCATTATCGACGAAAGACTGCCGTTCGACGAGCTCCACATAGAAGGTGCCCGTTATCTCCATGTGTTTATGGCATACAACAACAGGCGCACTGTTTTGAAGCATATGAAAATGACGCACTGCTCGCTGTCCGTGTCCACCGCTTCCCAGCTCCTGGGCACAGAGGGCCCCGACGGCACACGCCGCTTTCCGACACGCCGAGGCGAGCGGGGGGCACCCGAAAGGAGGAGTTGCCGTTACGGTAGAACGACAAACCGGACCGCAAACCTTTGGCGGCACGGAGATCCTAGCCATGTGAGCTCCACATCGAAGTGGATCGTGTTGTTGATGTCGATATCGTCGTCGTTGTTGATGAAACGGACTAGTACAATAGTTCGTTTTTTTTGTGCCGGATTGGCCACGTTAGAGGTTCGAGGTTTCCACCACAGGTGGGTAATCGGTGCCCGGTGCAGACTGCCCAGACAGAGGGTGGCACACACAAGCGTTCTTTGTCGCGACCAAGCGGGATACCGAAACTCGTAGACTCCACACTATTGTACACCCCGCCGCTTGTTTGCTGTCAGGTATCTCTGCAAGCTTCGAGCGTGTGCCGCGCCGACGCAGGCACCTGGTGGTGGCGGGGAAGGGGCTTCGGCAACGGCGTGCAAGGGCTGTTTCTCGAGCCCGGCGGCGGCTTCGCCGGTCGAGAGGAGGGCGGTTTTGGACGCTGCTCGCATCGCGGGGTTTGCGGATGCGAAGGTGTTCACGAAGGAGGGTAGCGTTCAGTCGGCGCCAACATTTTTGAGCGTCGCGGAACCTTTTTTTGACCTGCGTAGTTTCCGCCCATCAGGGCGATATATATGTGCTCCCTTTTACACCGGCGGTGTGCAAGGCGGCGTTTGCGTGAAGGGAGGACATGCTGCTGCTGCGTTGCTCGAGCCGGGCTAGCCTGTCCCGACTCAATTATCATGGCCTGCGTCGCTGCGTCCGTATGGAACGAAACTCAATGTTAAGCTGGTCTGAAGTGGTCGGGGAACACAGACCAAGTGACTGGCGTGCCGTCTCGCAGAAACACCGCGTGCCGGGTGTGACCCTCAGCCGTGTAATTCCTCTGCCCGACACTCAAACGCTCCGCTTGACGCGAACAATGGGACCCAGGTGTTCCCTGCTTCCGACTGCCTCTGCGCCGTTTACGCCCGAAAGCACCCCGTGTCGCCGGGCTCTGCTCCCGAGACCGTCATCATGGTTGACGTTGGCCGCTTACAGACGACTGTGGTTGTAGCGCGCTTCGGGGAAGGCGAGGGCGAGAGTGACGCCCCCGTTGCGAAAGCTGACGCCCGGCAGAAGGAAAACGCGTCGGCTCCATGCACGTATTCGGTGCTAGCGGTGCGCAGCAACGTCGACCTGGGGGCGTTTCATTTCGACGATCGCATGTTCCGGCACTTTCAGGGGTTGGTGAGTGAGGGCGCATTATGTTCTTGCGCCTTTTGGAAGGTTTGGCGAGGCTGTCTGCTTAACACTACCTGCTGGGCCCCTCGCGTTCCACGTGCTGTGTGGCGTAGTCACTACGTGCCGGCCGCGGAAATGACGTCTGTTCGTCGTACAGTATCGAAGTTTGTTGTTTCAAGAGAGTACCAGCAATGCGATGTTCAAGTTTTCCTTGCTGTGGGCACGCGTGTTTGCCTCTGAACCGCTGGCGTGAATAACCGAGAGTGTCCCGGTATGCTCCAGTCAGTACCTGCTGACAATAATCCGGGAAAGTCCCCCCCGGATCGTTCTGCGTCTACAGCTTCTTCATTTTCTCTACCATGACATGGCCTTCTCCCCTAGCCCGTCTGGATTCTATTTTGTTTTCTATTATTTTTCATCGTCCTCGTACCTTTTTTCGCTGTTCCCGCCTTTGTCTGCGGAGCAGGTGAAGAAGAAGTATGACCACGATGTGCTTCCCGGATCGAAGCAGGGGATCAGGCTTCTCCTGGCGTGCCGACGGCTGCGAGAGCTGCTATCCACTACTCCCACCGCCGAAACAGCTGTGGAGGTGAGACACACAAGCAACGCTGCCGTGATTCTTTGCTTCACACCCCACACCCAGGTTCCCGCTGTAGCTCCAGCCCAAGAAAGGCGGTACCGGCAGTTGGCGATAGTTTTCGAAGGGCGCGTCGTTCGTCGCTGTTAACCCGCGTTTCGTCATCAAGCTTGGCAACATTACGTTCTGAATCTGGACCTCCCATGCGTATTTCATGGCGCATCTTTGCCGACAGAATCTGGTGGACGGCGTGGATGTTCCCCTGTCGATGACTCGCGCGGAGCTGGCGACGCTTTGCGAAGCCGAGCTCGGCGAGATTAGTAGCTTGGTGCGGGGTTGCCTAGAGGAGGCAGCCATTGATGCCGGGTCTCTTACGGGGGCTCAGGCTATTGGCGGGGGCTGCCGGATGCCGATCGTGCAGGATGTGGTTAAGGACGAGGTATGGTATGGTATGGTGGTGCGCGCCCAGAAAGGTGGTTGGCGATGTACGGGCACGAGAAAAATGCCTGGTACTAGCCGGTTTGTGAATGCACGGGTGCTGTCTTGAGATTCGAGTCAATGTCTTCGATCGGTCACTTGGTGTGTCGTGTTTTGCACCGTTTCGAATAGTGTCTGTTCTGGGCTTGGCGTGTGCAACAGCACAAGCATTCGTGCACCTCCTGCTGGTGAAGTCTCGATGCCTCTCATGCCTCAAGTTGTGCTTTGCACCGCGGTTGCTTGATTCTTAGGTTTTACTTCATTGTCGCACATCTTCGCACCCTCTCTCCTGCTGTCGAGACATTGAGTGTTTTTCGTTGTACACCTTTCGAAATACAGCTTTTGTCCGCGTGCTTGAACCATCAGTGTCGCCTGCTACACGTTCTCAGTGCATGTTGCGTTTCAATGCGGTCGACGACATTAGGTGGGACTTCCGCTGGGATCGAGGCTAGACAGTGCTTCGCTAGCCTACGGAGCAGCTCTGTTGGCGCAGGGAGGGGAGTCGATGCAAGGTGGGCCAGGGTAGAGAGTGGCACTCAGTAGGGGGTGTAAACGAGTCCACTAGCTGGCTAGGTGTAGCCATGAACATTCATGTGCTGTCACATGAGGTCTATGCGTGATGGGGTTGTACGCCATGTGTGCACCTCATAACCTCGAGAGCGGCTCTCAGTGGGGTGTGCGAACAAGCCCACTGCATGCAACCATGAACCATATGTTTCTACGTGAGGTCTACGCGTAACGGGGGTTCATGTCCTGTGCGGATCTGCAAGGGATTGTTGCTCTATATCGCACAACAGCAGCAGAGACCCACCAAATGTGTTTTTTTAACGTACCGATGACTCACTCAGCTTCCGCCAGCAGTCTATCCCAATTGTTGGTGTTTCACGGAACGCACCAGATTCAACTGGAACGAACCGTTTCTGCTGCCGTCCGTCAACGTCGATCAGCGACAGAGGACGCCCTTGCGGCGGAGGGGATGTCCAAGGAGGAAATCATCAAGGCCGTCACTGACGAGCACGAGAGGCAGAAGGAAGACGCCGAGGTAGGGGGGGGTGGGGTTGAAGTGCCTTTTCCCGTGCCATGACGCTGTTTCGTAACGTCAGTCTCGCCGGAATGCGGCCTGTAGATGCACAAGCTTGTCGGAACGAGTCGTCCACGGAGCAGTCAGTTGCGGTAGGCTTTTTAAGACGAGGAGAACACTCGTGCAACTTCACAGCGTTCTCGAGGAATTGCCGATGGTGCAGCGAATTCTGGCCGGTTTTTCTCTGCTTCCTGCTTTCATCCCGACCTTCTATGGACCTGACCATGAGAACTACGGCCGCTCTGGGAACTCAGATTCTGCACACCCACTCCCGTCGACCAATTCATCAGCTACAGCACCCATGCGGTGTTCCCACTAGACCTTGAGCGTGCGTCGGAAGCTCTTCCGCCATTTGTTGTTGAGTGCTTCAGAAGGCACAAGCAGAAATCCTCATCCTGTCTCTTTTCTTGTGTGGGTGTAAATAATGCACTCGTGGTTCCTCTACGTCTCCTTCTGTGGCAGGTGCGCGCCATCGCCCTAGAGAGGAACGAGCTGGAATCCCTGCTGTTCGACATGGGTTCGGCCCCCAACAAGAAGCACGGAGAGCTCATCGACAAGTGAGGGTTTCAAATGTTACAAATGTTGTGTGTAGTTGACTCCCTGTCGGTAGGTCGTTGGGCGGCGTTTCCTACATGCTTGTCTGCGTGCTGACGCACGTGGGCACGTTCTTTTGTGTAAGCTGCATGGCTCTCTTCGTCAAGCCCGCCCAGTCATAGTGGGTTGGCACAAAACGGGAGGAATGTGGACGGGCGTGACTCGTGCTGTCTCGTCTTGGGCTGCCACTCAGCTCGATACCTCGGATGCCATTTCTGACGATGTAAGTGTCTGCCGTTCCTCGTGAGCCGGTACACGTTCACTACTACACACGCTGGCATCGCCAAACGAGTTAACGCGCGCACCCGCCGCTGGGTGGTCTTCGCATGACGCCTTTGAGCAGGGAGGCCCTCAAGGCTGCTTTGGGAGGGCTAGAGGACTGGCTGTACAGCGAGGAGGCTGACGATGCCGATCTTGCTGCGCTCAAGACCAAGCGAAAAGAGGCGAGGTGTCGTTGTTTCTTTTTTTTTTAGCTCTTGATGAAGTGTGGTACATGCAACGTTCCTACCGACGATGCCCTGTGCCTGGTATTGATTTGCTTGCGTTTCTCCGTAGGTGGGCGGTGAAATTACCACATCTAGGGGGACTCTCTGACTCGGGGACAGCCCGTTGTGTGTAGCGAGCAACCTCCCCAAATGGCGAAGCTGGATAGCAATGCGACAGGTCGGGCAGACACGGAGCGTGAGGCTTCGCGTGAACCGACTGAGCAGTGGGACGAAACCCATACGCTCAGTCGCTTCTCCACAAGAAGAACAAGAGGCAAAAGGCGTTCAAGAAGGCTGCTGCTTCTGCCGCTCAGCAACAGAAGACCGAAAAGGAAGGGTCTGCGTCAGTGGTGCCGAAAACCCCGACCAGAACCGACACCGCGCTCCGTGTCTGTCCCACCTGTTGCGATGCTGTTCAAATTCGACATTTGGGAAGTTGCATACCCTTTCGCCTCCGAATCAGAGCCCCGTGAATGCATATCCTTTCGCTACCGAACCAGAGCCCGTGAACGTGTTGAATTGTTTTACCGTCCACCAGCGGAGGTGTTCGTCTCTCGTTAGAGGGGGCGAGGAATGCCAAGCGTGGCCGACAAGCCAAATAGGTTCGAGAAAGGGTGAAAGAAAAGAGAGCGTGTTTCTTCGTGGACACTTTTCTTAGGTTCGAGATTTATCCGCATGGTCGCAGCATTCGGTGGATCTTGTCGGTAACAATCCTGGAACACCGGAAGAGCATCGTTCGTTAGGTCTCCAGATCTCTACTGACTGTGTGTGTGTTCGTCTATGTGTACCTCTAGGAAGATACCAATATCCTGGCTTCGACACAGTGAACGTGATATCCCGCCTACTTGTGAAACTTGCGGATACAGGAATCGATGCCCACACGCCGCACTGCTATCATATATAACGGTTATTATTATAGTACATTTGAGCCATCTGCTTGTTGTGGTAAATGGTTGTTCCGTTTCGGGCTGCTGCTGCTGTGTCGTGGTAGATGTTTGGCCACCTCTCTCCACGTGCGTATTTATTGTTTGTTTGTTTTTTGTGCTCCGCGACCCGCCCGCTGTGCAGATAGACGCTGAGCTGAAGGGTAATGTCGCCAAGGCGTTCTTTGAAGCGGTGGGAGCGGACAAGAAAAAGGTGGGCCTTCATCCACTTCACCGCGGTCGGTGTTTTTGTTCTGCACTCTGCACGCTTTTCAACTTGTCGTTTCTGGGATGTGGACCAATCAAATTCGCTTGCTGAAGGTCGTTGTGGTGAGGTATGAACAATATTTCCGAGATTTTTCTTTCCTCGACCTTTTTTTTTTCTCACACGGGTACTGTAAGTAGCGTTACAGACATGGGACGATGGTTCTGATGTTACCATGCACGGGGTTTCAATAGGTGGAGGCTGAGATGGAAGCTGAAGCGAAGGCGTTCGAGGAGGAGAAAAAGAACAACCCGGAAGAGGGCGACGACCACGACACCCGAAAGCTGCCCAAGCCTGAGAGGATGCGTCTCGTGATGAAGAACAAGGAGGTGAAAGGCATCTTCTTTGAATCGTGAACAACGCTTGTTTCGTTGTAGGGTCGTTCAATTTTCGTGTGGTTGCAAGGATTGTATTGCGCTGTATATCGTTCAGATTATCAAGCTCCGCGGTGGGAGACCCCGAGACGTGTTGTCCCTCTGTCCGGTTAATCGATGGAGCGACATCTTCCCTGGGCACTCGTCAGACCTTCTCCCTGCTGCCCGCTATGCGTCGAATACCATCATCCTTGTGTACGGCGATGTTGACCGTCCCCTGCCCCCTTGTTGCCACGCAGGAAGGGACCGAGCTGTTCAAGGGTCAGAACTACCGCCAGGCCGGGGCGCGCTACTCCAAGGCCCTCACGCACGCCGCCAAGATGTTCGACCTCAACGCGGAAGAACAGAAGGAGGTCCATGCGGTGCAGCTCTCGCTCTACCTGAACCTGGCACAGTGCTACCTCAAGCTGCAGAGCTGGGACCAGGTACGCGCACACGGGCGGCAGAGAGGAGGTTTGGCCCTCTTGCAGCTTTGCACGATTGCTGCTGGGGATTTAACCTCGGCTTGGGAGAGGTCTGTCGAATGCTGTTTGGCTAGCCTGTACTCAACACGCTTGGGTTGTTTCGTCTTTCTTTCGTGTTTCGGTTGGCCTTTTGGCGATGGAGGTTTGGCTGGCCGTTAGCGCGGTGGAACAATACTGCGCATGAGAATAGAACCCACCGGCGCACCATGAAGAGGAGGGCAACATCAAACAGGGAGTGATGAGGAGAGTCTGCCCGTGTTTACCGCCGCCTCATAACGATGTTTGTGTGAATCGCCCGATGTCGTCGAAGGGCGCCTGGCATGCGACATGAAACACGCTCCACACACCGCCTCTTCCGCTACATTCCTTCGCCTCTGTATGGCGTTTATATCGATTTGTGACACTCCTCCAACATGAAAGGTGGTGAACAACTGCACCCTTGCGCTGAAGCTCGACGCCGAATCGAGCAAGGCGCTCTACCGTCGGGCGTACGCCCGTTTCACCAAGAAAGACTACGACAACGCCAAGACCGACCTTGACAAGGCGCTGGCATACGCCCCGGGGGACAAGGCTGTTGCGACACTGCTCAAGAAGGTGGGGCCGACGTTTTGTTTTCTTTTTCTTCGTAGCGTCGAACCTCGTACACTACTCTCTTTCTTCCTGAATGTTCTGTTTTAGGGGTACGAGAGGTGGAGAGCACGAGTTGCACGGCTTGATGGAACAAACTATGGGCTTGGGTTCTTGACGTGCAGCTGCGACGAGGATGGTCAAGATCTATCTCTCTACAGTATCTTGAAGGCTTTGGATGTTAACCCTGTTCTGTTTGAAAACATTGGGCGGGCATGGTTAGTAGAGGGTTGGCGGCTTTGTTCACTGACGGTAGATGTACCATTTGCCCCCTCATTGCACCCTGCCCACGGCGTATGCCTCCCCCCAACGAACAGGTGGACAGCGTTCTGAAGAAGCAGCAAGAGAAGGAGAAGAAAATGTGGAGCAAGGCATTCTCCTAGCGTCGTGCTGGAGTCGGAAACATTGTCGAACAGTACAGCAGCGCCATGCGCATTTTTGTTGGGAAGTCGCATTCAGATCAGTCGCAACGGAGACAGATTGAGTGTTATGCCTGTCACAAGATTATGCATGTTGAAGGTTACAATACGTTATGGACTGCTTGCGGTAGTCGGTCCTGTAGACGTTTTTTTTTTATTTACACACCTTGCACAACTATAAACAACTAGACTTTAGTTGGGTGAGGGTTCAACTACCCGTAGTTGAACGGAACTAACTAGTTGCACAAGATTCGAGCCAGTAGTTGATTGGCCAAACAAATACAACTATCGTAGTTGTAGGGTGTGAAAAGTTATTTCGGCTGCGCTACGGGGAAAGGTGTGTTGGATCAGCATTTTCGGGCGCCACGTTTACGTATGTATCGCGTCTTCGTGGATTCCATGCTGAAAATAGTGGATGGCAAAGCGCTCGTCCTGAAATCCGATTTTTTCGGCATTTTGCGCCTTCATGAGGGTTTCCCAGTAGAGTGTCTCCCTCTTTGACTTGTTTTTTTATGCTTCGATAGTGGTTGCATTGCCGTGCATGAATGATGTGTTCGGGGATCAAAATTGGACGGGGTGCGTGAAGCCAGACAAGTTGTGCCAAGTAAAGAAGAGACAGGGAAGGACACGGATGCAAGGCCTGCTTTAGTTACAACGGGAAGGACACACCGTTTGGGTTCTATCGATTTTCCCAACCCATTTCCTCACCGACCCTCTTCGGTTGCTTACTATGAGGGGGCAATGGGAAAGAAAGGTGATACCTTGAACGAAAGATCGGTTTTGGTAAGACAGATTGTACAGCAACACGGCAGTGTGCTGGTGTAACCCCACAGCAGCAGTGTCCTGGTGTACAGCCAGCCATGTGTGTAACACTTATCTGTACAAATGAAATGAGTACATCGTGTTAATTTGTCCTTGCCTGTACAAGTACAGCAGACTGCTGTTCCCAAGCTCTAGCTTGGGTCTCAGTCGATCAAAAGTCTTTTTTTTCCGTCTGTGGAGTTTTCAGTAGCATAGCGGACCCCTTGCCCGACCGGGTCGAAAAGGCCGATCTCAGCCCACACTGCGAACCTCCGAGAACTACCAGCAGTTCTGGGTAGCTGAGACGATTTCAAGACCTCTCACAGTCGTTTGAGCAGCTATCGCTTGCTGTGGGGCGATAACCAGTTTCTCCGTCGACAAGAAGATCTGCGTTACATCGTCACCTGGGAACGACCAGATTGGTTGACTTACTTGTCGTTGAGGGTCCTCTTTTTATAGTTTTTTTTGTATAAGAGTCGTCTTCATTTTTTTCGCCGCCCGCGCGAAGCCTTCTTTTTTACAGATCTTTTTATATAGAGTCGTCTTCTTTTTTTCGCCGCCCGCCCCAAGCCTTGCTTGCTTCTCTCGTGTCCCGCGCCAAGCCTTGCTTGCTGGCCACGCTTCTCTCGAGATGCTGACCGACCTCAGCACACAGCTGGACATTCTGTGTACATACAGCAGGAGCTGCTTTTGTTCTGTTGTTGTTGCAGCTTTCTGCATGGCTCTTTTGTGGTGCGAAAATTAGCATTTATTTATTGTTGTTGTTGATGTGCGGACGAGAGGAAGAGAGTGGTAGGCAAAAGCAGTACGTACCTGCAAATCTCCGGCAACTACCAGCAGTTCTGGGTAGCTGAGACGATTTCAAGACCTCTCACAGTCGTTTGAGCAGCTATCGCTCGCTGTGGGGCGATAACCAGTGATTTTGTGATTTTCTTCCTTAGTCTATAGTGAGTGACCGTTGTACACATGCGGTGGCTGCTGTTATGCTCGGAAGATGCTGCAAAGGTCATAAGGTTATCGTCTCTGTCGCTTGGGCTGCACGCCGTGCTCGCGTAGGAGATGCGCATTCCTCATTTTTTCTCTGTGCCGATATCCATGAAGAAAAGCAACGGCAGCACGGTTGAAGATACAGACAACAGACGGTCCGCCATAGTTTTTTTTTTGTTTCCTTACATGCATGGATGGGTGGTAAAGCATCGCAAGCGTGTTGCTGCCTTACTTACCTTTAGTGTGCTGCGTAGTCGTAATTTGAGCGATAAGGGGTAGACGGCAGGACAATCTTATTTGCGTAGTGAGGTTTGACAACTGGTCGTTCGTGGAACGGTGCGCGTCTATCGCGACGGCAAGCGTATTGAGAAAATAGTTCGTCCGTGGTGCTTCTCGTCATCATTTTCTATTTCGTTGTGACTTCATACTTCATACCACAAGTGATGAAAGAGAGTCTCCACAGTTAGTTCGGAAACGGCGACTATATTTGGTTAGTTGCGTTTGTTGTTGCTGAGCACACATCGGATGTCGCCGTTCGTTACAGCCTGCGGTGGGCCACAGGGACGAGAGTGAGTGTCTTCGGTTAGGGTTAGGGTTAGGGTTAGGGTTAGGGTTGGGGTCTCGAGAGTTAATTAATGCCTTCTCTACGCTTTCTTCTGTTGGTCTACGTAGTAGTAGCACCTGTCTCTCTCTCGCCTATTATCGCCGTTGGGGTCCCAACAACATCGAACGTCAACCGCAATCGTTTTTCTTCTTGCTGAGTAATAAGAGGCTATTTGTGTAGTACGTACCCGGCTGCTGTATGTGAGGCTATGGGCGCTGCCTCTTTACTTGAAGCAACGGGGGCATGGCCCCTATACTGTTTGCTGCATGCTATGCTATGTGACAGCTTCCAGCGGTTCAGAGCGGCGACGGTGGTTTTCGTATGCTCTCTTTTGCCACCTCCCTGAAGCCTGTCGCGTCTGGCTAACTTGTCTTTGTCGTCCCTTCTTTTTTTTCTTTTTTTTCTTTAACATAGTCTATATTAAATTTTTCAGCTTTCTTTTTGGGGTCCGCCGGTCATCCGCCCACCACCCATTAGTTCAGTTTTAAATGTTGTTGTTGTTGTTGTCTTCGCATTAAAAACCGTTCCGATCTCTCTCTACCCAGTACCTTCATATGTCCGTACTGATCCAACACTTGATGCGGTCGATTCCTGTGGTCACAGGCCATCTTACCCTAAAGAGGTACGCTAAAACAAACTGGCCCCGAAAGGTCCGCAAGTCAATAAAAATCAACGACAGATATTCTTTGGAACGGGGTGTTGACTTGCCATGTCTATGACTCTGCAAGTTTCACAATTAATTTTGAAGCTTTTCTGAAGCTAGTTGAAACAGTAGTGTCATCGTTCGATATCCGTTCGGTGAGGAATCAATCGCAAATCATGACCCGTCCCCGAGTTTGAGCAGCTTCCGCCTCCTGGGGCCGGCACGAGTCGGCCTTCACTGCTGTACCTTGTCTGTTTCGCCATGGGAATGGCCGGTTCAAAGCGAAAGAGGGTCCTGCGTGCTGCGCGCCACCACCTTTTTTTTTTTGCGTTTGTTTGTTGTTGTGATTTTCTTCCTGAGTGACCGTTGTTGTACACAACATGCGGCTGCTGCTGTACACATACTTACTTGCGGTTGCTGCAGTATATGCTCGGAATGAATGTGCTGAAAAGAAAGGTCGTAAGGTTATCGTCTCTGTTGTTTTGGGCTGCACGCGTTGCTCGCGTAGGCGATGCGCGTCTCCTACTTTTTTCCAGTGTCGTTGTCGGCAGCACAGTCAGTTGAAGAGACAAACAACAACAGACGGTCCGCCTTGTTTTGTTTTGCTGCATGCATGGGTGGTATGCATTGGCACGCGTGTTGCTTCCTTGCCTTGAGTCTGCTGCGTAGTCGTAATTTGAGCGATAAGTAAGGTAGATGGCAGCACAATCTTAGATACTACGTAGTGAGGTATGATAACCAACAGCTCGTTCGTGCAGCGTTGCGCATCTATGGCGGACGGCAAGCGTATTGCGATAATAGTTCGTCCGTGGTGCTATGTAGTCGTGCTCTTTTTAGTTCTCACTTCCTACAACAAGATAGTCCACAGCTCGCACACGGCGACTGACTATATTTGTTTGTTCTTATGCTTGTTTGCTGTTGCTGAGCCGACATCGGATATCGCCGTTCGATACACAACGTGACATCATGTCTGACAGCCTGCGGCGGGCCAGAGGGACGAGAGTGAGTGTCTTCTCGAGAGGGTGAATGCCTTCTCTTCTCGAGAGAGTCAATGCCTTGTCTTCTCTCCGCTCTCTTATTTTTGTCTACCCCTCTTTCTCTCTCTCTCGCCTTTCGCCGGTAGGGTCCCAACAACATCGAACGTCAACCAACCGCAGTCGTTTCGCTTTTTGCTGAGTAAGAGGCTACCCGTGCATCCGGCTGCTGCATGTGAAGCGATGGGCGTTATGCCAAGCAATGGACTTGGGCCCTACCTAATATTTGCTCCATATGTAGTGCTATGTGAGAGTTTCCAGCGGTCCGGAGCGAGCGGCGACGGTGCATTTCTTCTATGCGCTCTTTTGCCTCCTCCCTGAAGCCTGTCGCGTCTGGCTCGTTTGTTCTCGCTTCTTTCTTTCTTTTGTTTTTCATGCTTTGTTTTTTGGGGTCCCCCGGTTCCTGTGTGCTCATCGGGCGTCTTCTTGGTGTCTACCTTGAACTTGATTGTTACCCGCTGCAAAAATCGAAAGCTTCAGACAGGCAACGCGACGATACTCGTCGAGATGCCATACACAATGAATTCATTGCTAATCTGTCTCAGACTCTTTTCTATGATGGAGATGGATTCGTTGTGTCATATTAAGAAGAATAAACATAAAAAAACATCCTGTCGTTACTCTATCGATACCTCACACCCACCCCTACTCACGCCGACGCAGACACAGACAGGCAGACTCAGCTCCTTCGCCTGTGCTGCATCTGTTGTTCGTGCGTGCTGAAAAATGGTACTACAGCAGCAGCTTACGGCAGCAGGAGCTGCTTTTTGCTTGTTTGTACAGCTTTTCCTGCAGGGATGGCTCTTGTTGTGCGGCAAGTTGCATTGTTTGTTGTTGATGCGGACGAGAGGACGAGAGTGGTAGGCAAAAGCAGTACGTACCGTGTTAAAGGGACAGACAGAGTGCCTACCGTGTGTACAAGGGACAGACGTTGCATTTCGTGTTTCCCGAGGATCGGATGTATGTGTTGTTTTTTTATTGCGTACCCGCGTCCATCACGACCATTATTGCGTAGTGTGTCGGCTAATTAAGGTCCTTCCCGTTCGTGGTGTCAGCACACGCGCAACACGCGACTAAAATAAAAATATAAAGCTTGGGACTAGCAACGCCGACGATATTCGTCGGCTTGCTTTCAACAATGCGTGTATTTACAGCGAAAAGAGAGATCTCGAGAGACTGGACCGTTCTCCGACCGACAGAAAAAATCATACCGTCGGTCGGTACCTCACAGTCCCGAAAATAACGAACCAACCGAGCACCGATCACCCACAGCAGTAGCTACCCACAGCACGCTGCTGCGTTGTGCGATGAGCACTGGATACCGGAGCAGCAAGGGCGTTCTCATCACCTGGTACGGTACGGAATGGGAACTGGTCTGTTACATGCCCTGAGTCGAAGCCTACCACAATCGTAGCAGCTTTGTCAAGTGTCAAAAGTGCGTCGATCAGAGTAGGGTCGACTTGATGTACTGCCGCAGACTGCTGTAGACGCTAGACAGCAGTGCCCAAGCAGTGTAGTGCACTAGAACACTGCTACAGCAACAGCCTTATTCTTTCACAGGTAACTCTTTTACCGTACTGCCAATTTGGCTCAATATTGCGGGCTACGTTCCTGACGCTGGTTCAAGCCGTTTGTCGCTGAAGATACCACCCCCTTGAACCGATTTACCGGTACACTTGTACAAGTACAAAAGTACATGTAGCGCCACAGCCACATCCAGCAGCAACGTTGCCGAACAAGACGGCTTGGGCACCGTCTCGTCGAGAGCTTTCCGATAACGAGCCCGTTGCCGGTGACACCCTCTTCGTCGTGGAGTAATTAATCGAGTTTTATTATCTGTCACTAGGGTGTTGCATCTTACGCTACCTACGGTAGAGTAGGATCAAGCTTGAAACCATGAGCGCCCGTGTTGCGGCCTATGTTCTACATGCAGGAAGTGCAAAGCGGTAGTTTCGTGAACGCGTGTATTTACGCATGCGTGTGAAGTCCACAGCTCGGCAATTTGCTGGACTCCTCATAGAGATGCACATGCAAAGCAGCGGAGCATGTTGTATTTGGCGGTCTTCGGTTGCAGGCACAGCAGTGATGATGACATTTCAGAAATGGGTTCCCCTCCCACGGTGACAAACAATTCGCTTCGGCACCTCAAGGGGGAACTCGCCGCCTACAAAAACATGGCACAGAACATTTTCATGGGGGTTGATCTATTTCGCCGATCGGTTGCCTTCCCGTCATTCTTGTCGTTGCTGCTGTGCTCAGCAGTGCCCGAACACGTGATATTTCACTCGCCGCTGCAAGCGTACCCTGATTTCATGACTTTCCCACTCAGGCGGGATCAAGGGCAGAATGAACACCAGTTTTGAACTTTTTCGAATAAGAGCCCGCAATCGCTTTGGTTCAATCTTCGCCGCTCGATATCGCTGCTATGACTGGTATTGTTCCCCCGCCTCCGCCCCTTCCTACCCAGCGTTGTCCCTCGTTTTGTCGTTCGTGGTGGGTGTTCTGGTGCAAAAACGATGGCTGTGTGAACTTGAACCTTTTTCGTTGGAGTTGATAACCGCCGTATTTGTCCCCTGTTGTATCCAGCGATGTGCCCACGAAGCAGTTCATTATGAGCCTGGACGCGCGGCTGGCGTGCGTGGTGTCGGATCTGGACGCCACACATGTCTTCGTGAAGAAAGACAGCGTCAAAGAGATACAGTGAGTGCCATCTGCCCACCTGATTTTCTGTTCACGTTTGGCAGGAACCGCCTAGGAAAATGCGCGCGTGTCGAGCTGGAATTAAGCGGGGTTGGTTCAGGTCTATGTCTACTTTGTGTAATGTTTTCACGAAAGTGATGCCGATGTCACGGGCTGCTCCACATTAACGCTGTGGGTGCCCTGTATTGATTGGCTGTCCTCCCCATCTTGTCCGGAAGTATTGCTCGACAATGTTGTTGATTTCGGGATGTGTTGATGGCGGAGGTGTGGAGGTGAGGGAAGGGCGAAAGGATCACATCCGGCCGCCGTGTTGGCGGAGGTGTTGATTTCGGGTGTACCTAAGCACCAACGAACGTTTTCCACATGCCATGCTTCATCCCTTTTCAGGCGCGAGCTGGAACAGCTGCACGAGAAAAACGTGTACGTGCGGCCTCGAACATAGCAACAACGGCGGTGCACAGCAGTGCGCAACAGCACGTCGGAAGACGGCACCGGCACGACGGGTACAGGACCATTGTGCTCACCACGCGGACGCTTCATTTCGCGTGGCAAATAGCAGGAAAACTGGCGAAGAGAGGGACGACTTTGATTTTTTTTTTGTGGGAGCAACCAGTGTCGGAGGGACGGTAGAAATCGTACGGCTTATTGAGAGGGAGGTTCGCGATCTCTACTCGTCTGGGTGATCGGCAGTAGTAGGGTATCGCTGGACAAGCTATGTATCACATCGACGAGTTTGCAATCGCCGTGCCTTTGAAACGTGATGCTACCTCGTCGAAGAATGGCATTGGTTTAGCGTACAATCAAAAGGACCATGCCCAGGCGCATGCAGCATCTCACACCCATCGTGGCCATGAATGTGGTGTGGAGATCCGTGTTGTGGAGGATTGAGACACTATGAGAAGGCCATGTAGCACAATGAAGCGTGTGCTCGCAAAAGCCTCTGTCTAACTCTGGTTGAAAGGGAAGTCAAGCCCCCAGGTGCTCTTCAAGCATGACTACGGTGGGAGTTGAACAATCCCTGCACCGCACCAAACACGTGATACGCGCCAACACACAGCCGAATCTTTCATTGAGCGCGCTCACGCTTACGTTACGATGCTCCCTTTGCGAAATGAGCATGCCGCGCTCCGTGCGCGTCTACGGGAAGGCGAAGAGGGTTCGGCTTTTGGTAGTTCAGTCGGTGTCAGTGTCCCCCTTGCTGCTCCGCGGAGTGTGGTTATGGCAGGAGGAGGTGCTGCGGGTGAGGAACCCTTGTTGGAAGAATATTCAGAGATAGTGGATGTAGGTGACCACGAGGATGTCATGGACGGCGGCGGGTATGAGACATTGGTTGGGGTGGGGTTGAGGAACAAGCCCAATCGAAGGGCAAGAAACGCCGCAAGCCGCAGATTTGCCAAACGTGCGGCCACCGCAGGCAGCAAGGCTCGTACAAGAGCGCACACCCTCCCCCCGCGGTGAGGCAACGGGGTGAGCCAGCAGCCTTGCAATGTGCCACCAGGGGAGTGTAGACCGGAGAGTGAGAGAACAGGAAGGGTTAAGATGGGACTTAGGTTATGGTCTCCGTGTGATTGTGCGAAGTGCTGCTCAGCGGATGCTTGAGAAACAGGGTGTTTTGTGTCGGCAGGGTTGCGTCTACTGCATGTATAGTGAGTAAGTGTACAAATTGTGTGGCGGCAGTTTCCGGGCTACTTGGACGACAGTTAATCAATGAGTCACGAACACATGTGGCGGTTGGTTATTCTAGACTTCGGCGGTTGAAACAATGATTTTCATTTTTGTTTCCTCGTGCGTCATCGATCTACTTTGGCCGTGCTACTTGCACCGTTTCTCTAATGCACAAGTTTGATAACCTCACCAAAAATGTCATAGTCTAGACGATGCACACAAACCATGTAGCATTCAAACCTCCCCTCGAAGAGCAATGTCAAGCAAAGGTGCGGTGGCGCGCGCACAGCGTGTGTGTTTTTCGCCCCAAATATTTTTTTCGCGCTTACTACCATGGTATTTCTTTTAGACCCCTAGACTATGTTGCTATGTACAAGGAGGGCACGGGGATTCAAATACGTGATGCACAACTGGATTAAGGACCAGATCAGGGGGAGGGGGGGGCTGTTATGTACCGTATACATAGATATATGTAGGAAATAGTGTGGTATAGTATAACCTATACATGTTCTATTGTATAGCATTTAGTATGCATGCATGCATATGGCTATTCGAAACCTTACACCTCTCTTGCTTACTTCTTGAAGTTTAGACCGCTGTTGTGTGTTGTGGGTACATTGCATGTAGTAGATTTAGTGTGTGTAATAAAAGCCTACATGATGCTGCTGCTGCTGTGAACCCTTGTCTTCTCTATAGGGAACATCAGACAGGGTGCTTGCTTGCTGATACCCTTCCTTGCTGTTGCAGGAGGACCACATTGGTTGCTGCTGCTAAAAGGGGCTACAAAGAAAGGTCTAGGATTTGGTGTGGTCATACTCACCTCTCTATTGTATGAGTTTTATAATGTAGCACTAAAGCCTACTATATGGAATATACGATGACTATTCTAAGTCCTACCTTGTACAATAAACGCCTTGACCAAACTGGATCAAGATTCAAGCGCCTGAAAAATGGGGGGGGGGGGGAGGGGTGTGTGTGTGTGTGCATCACGTATGTATTTGAATCCACGTGCCCTCTTGCTATGGAGTTGTACATGTATCCTATGTATTGCTATATGTATGGGAGGGGGGCCTGCAAATAGGGTTTTCCACGAAAAACGTCATGTTTCGTCTGTCGTTCACCCAGCACCCGCTCTCCGCTGCCGCTGCTCTTTGCATATACCCACCCGCTTCCCTGCACCATGCTGCGACTTACTGTCCTAGCAGCCTTCATGGCGGGTTGCAGCTCGTTCCTAGTCCCACCTGTGTTGCTGCGGCCGCCGATCATGGAAACCAGCAAAGGAGCACTTCACATGACGCAGAACAACGACGACATGGCCGACTCGGACTACTCTGGGTTGTCTGATGGACCCGTTGACAGGCGCACCCTCCTCACGGCAATTCCCGCGACTGTTGTAGCAGGTATGCATATGTATGCGTATGACCAGCCCCGTGAAAGAGGAGTTGTGAGTTCTATTGTTGGCAACAGCACCGGCGACAGCAACAACACCCGAGCTTCGCTCACTCATGTTTGTGCGACTTCGGCGCGTGTCGCCGCTGTGCACACGCAAGTGTATGCCACGCTATCCTTGGCTGTATCGCCGACGGGCCCATCCATCATCGACAGGAGTGTCATTGTCGTTCTGCGCACGTGCTACTTTCTCGTCGCGTGCAATTGGCGCGTGTTTGGCGAAGATCCACCATGCGGCGTAACTTTGGTCCTCGCTCCTCGCCTCTCTCTCTCTCTCTCTCTCTCTCTCTCTCTCTCTCTCTCTCTCTCTCTCTCTCTCTCTCTCTCTATCGCTATCTATCTCTCTATCGCTCTGTTTTCGCAGCCTGTCCAAAGAAATCTGCGTGCTGTCAAGTCTCTCGCTTGTCTAGACGATAGGCATGCAGCAGTACTTCTGTGTGAGAGAGCCCACATGCTTTTTCCTCGGCAATCCATACATGTACATATGCATTTTCGGCCACCTTCAAGTACAGCACGTTGGGCGAGAGGTACCCTGTAGTTAGGTAGCCCGATGACCTAGGAACCCCGGGTGTAGCCTTGTTAGATACAGCATACCCACTAGACTATGCTACAAGTCAGCGCTGGCCGTAGCATAGTGGATATGCTGTACGGAAAACTGCAGCCGCTACCCTCGTAGAGATTGCTTGAGTTATGGTGCCCGCAGCAGTGCATTCTGCAACCAATGCCATGTGTTGCGCAATCTGTTTCTGTCACCACAAGAATGTAAGGGTGGTGCCAAACGGTCAAGACACGAGAAGCACGAATAACACCACCAGTACCAGCCGTCACACCTGTGAATTGACGCAAGTACTCCTCAGACCTTTCGCCAAGGGCAACAGATGACGTTACTAGGCTGCCCACATTGTTGGCACGCAACGGTTACTCATGCGTGTCTGTGGCGTACAGGGGTTCTTGGCTTTGCAGTGGCGGGTTCGGCACCAGAGAAGGCACTGGCAAGAGCTACGCCGAAGGCCGCGCCGGCCGGGACGAACGTTGTGGTTCTCGGCGGCAACGGTTTCGTTGGAAGGTGAGTTTTTGGGGACAGTCATGAGGATTTACTCGTCATGAACGTGCTTGTGGCACTACATACTGAAGTGGTGCGGTGTCAGCTGCTTGCGGCCCAACTCATGCTCTCTCTTTGCACTGCCTTGTTTGTTCGTTCGGCCGCATGCACTGGGTTCTCGTGCGAACAACGACGAACACGACTTCCAACACCTACAGCAAAGTGTGCGAACTTCTGGTCGAGGCTGGTAAGAGATTTGCCGCTGATGAGTTCGGGTTGTGCATCGTGGTGGGCATATTCGGGAGAGATTTCAGGGTTCGAGGATGACATGATTTGATTATGGATGGGCTTCTTTGACTGAACGAGGGACTCGACAAATCACCTTTTCTCTCCCTCTCGGGATTTTGCTGGTTGCCTTCTTGTGCTCCGTGCCCATGGATCGTACGGAAGGATTTTTTCGACCCTTTCGCCGGGGTTGTGCCCAAACGCAGTCGGTGACCGTAGAATGGGTGACTGGGTCCGCGAAACGTTGTGGTCGTCCCTAAGGTACTCCTGGGTGTGAGGCTATGTAGCCACAGGGGCGGTGGCACCATTGCGACCTGCTACACCCCCCCCCTCGCCCTGACACAGAAAATGTTTTACTTCCCTCGCCGTGCTTGGACAATGTGACATAATACGTGGTTTGCAGGAGCAACCGTCACAAGCGTGAGCCGTAGTGGCTCCAAGCCCGACAAGTGGGCAGCAGGGCAGAGCTGGGTGGACAAAGTGTCGTGGACGAAGGGAGACCCGACAGCCGGGGACCTATCTGCCGTCTTCGGCAAGGTAAGGAAAGGAAGCACGGCCTAACACCTTCCTCTCTTCCCCCTGCCAAGCTTTCTTACCCTCGGCGCAAGCCTGGCCCAAAACCCTCATCCCGCTCGCGCTGTGTTCCGTGTCCGTGGTACGTCGTATTATCTCATTGCGTTCTGTTGTCGACAAGGCGGCGGCAGTGATATCGTGCGTAGGGGTAATCGGGGGGAGCGACGAAGAGATGGAAAAGGGAAACGGAGATGTCAACGTCCAAGCTGCAAAGCAGGCAGCGAGCGGGAAAGCCGGGCGCTTTGTGTACGTGTCTGTATCGCACCTGGTGCCGGAGGCTTTCGGGGGGGCTGCTTTCAAAGGGTGAGCGCGCTGTCTTCCTTGCCACGCCAGATGTCACCAACGCTTTGATGTATACCTGACTATGTGTGCGTGAGCGAGAAGGATTTTTCCGTAGGTGGTCTAGCCTTTTTCCAAGGTTCGAGAGCGGCCACCGTTCTCGACCAGCACCCACCTCAAAGGGGTAACCTTGACACCTGAGACAAGTTGCGCTTACCACAGTTCCGGGGTGTTGATCCCGGCTTCAGACCAACCCTCGCCATCTTTCTGGCTCGCTTGGGTGATGTTTTTCTTTGTGTTTGTGGCCTCGATACAATGCACTTACGTGGTCGAGCACGCGGTCTCGGTCGTCGTGTCAAATGTGTTTCCATGCATGCGTCTCCGACACCTGATTTCTACGTGCGCATCACAGGTACTTCGATGGTAAGAGCCGCGCGGAGGAGGCCATCGCCAAATCCTTCCCGTCTACCGGAGTTCTGATCAAGCCAACCTTCATCTACGGCGGAGACTCGTTCGGCCTAACCCCCCCTAGGGTTTCGGACGGCTACGGGTCAGGGATAGACGCCCTCCTTTCCTCTGGCCCCATTCGAGCTATCGCCGGCATCTCCCCGGGCCTCATCAAGGTGCGAGGGGTGCCGCTTTTGCTCTGTGTTGATCGCGCTTGGCGGCTTGTTTTCCTCCCCCATCTTTTCTCACGCACGGTCCTCGTTCCTCGTGCTTGGTGTATGTCGGGAGGCCTTCTGTGCCTGGAAGGAGTAGTTGCGATTGTTGCTGCGTGATGTGTCGTTGATGGAGGGAATTAGCTGCTCGCGTCGTTTCTGTGGACCTGTCACGAGCGACGGAAGTGATCATCATTGCCACTGCATGCCAAGTGCGGAGGTTCTGATGGAGTATTTACCCGTTGCCCCTGGCGCTCAAGCATCGCTGTGGATACGCCCGATCGTTTGGCATTTTTTTAGTCATTCCCTTTTGTTTGTTTGCTTGTTGGAACTGTAAACGTTGCTTCAGGTTGCGCTTTCGCCACCGGTATCGAGGGACAACGTCGCGCTAGCATGCGTTGCGGGGGCGTTGGGGCGGCTACAAGGGACGAAGTTCGACGGAGCGGACGAGATCAACGCAGCGGCATCGAAGGCGTGATTACTCTTCTCGCATGAAGGCGATCGCTGCCGACAGCATGACCGAGTACGATCGGCCCGTGGTCGTATACAAGCAGCTGGGGGATATAGGTACAAGTAGCACAATCTTGGCGGGTACCTCGTCGTAATAGAAAGCGTGCCGCGTCAGGATGTTTGTCAGGGAAGCCGCGGCCATGGGTCGTTGTTGGACACTTCCAAGTATAGTCAGAGAAGTTGAGGTCTGTTGCAGATTTGCCACATTTCCTGCTATCTCTTGTCGGTTATGCACGCACACATTTGATCATGCGTGGCCTCCAGCCGTCATTATGTGTACTGGGACATTCGATGTTGCGGTGCGTCAGATGCATCAACCCATGTCACCAGCACCGCTTTAGAGTTGCGTTTGAAGTTTCGGCGGCACGAACGTATCATTCCTCTAGCCCATGAAGTTTATTTAGAGATGAACCGCCGTGAAAGTGTGCTGCAATGTAAAAGTAACTTGGTCCACACTTGGAGATTATTTTTCTCGTATTCAGAGCGCCGGCAAATGCATGCGCGATGAGCCTCAACGGCGAGCGGATGTTTCTATACCTGCAAACATCATCGTTGAGCTTGCGCGTGGTTTTCAGACAGTGCCTTGAATAATGAAATGTAGTCAACTGGAGGCTGCTCCATAGAAGCACCAAACTTGCATGCTCCGATACTAAATATCAGAAGCCAGCTAGGGGTTGAATTTTGCCTCCCTTCCGTGCCCGAACCTGGTGGCCCCGACAATTTCGGCATACAACAACCAATTTTAGTGTCAAGTACTGTAGGCAACCTACATTGGCAAAAAAACAATATAGGTAGTAGGTAGTCTTGCGGCGTTGATGCAATGCAACTCTGTTATGGGATTTGAATTGTAGCAAGTATCAACCATTTTCCGGAGGAGTAATTCCCTGAGGAAAGTGCGGGAAAAATGTATAACCACCCGCTGTTTCGAACACGTTACCCAATCTACCGCGCACTCCCGATCGAAGGATAAAACAGGGGACAGGACCTTTGTGGCCCCTTTGTAAAGGGAACATGTCCTCCCTCTTACTCCTGCTGTATGCCGTCGCTCAGGGACATCCTTCGTTGTCAGCCATTCGTTGATGTATGTCACAAGTCATCAGCGCCCCAGATGTGAGCTCTCCACCGGGCGGTGCTACCTTGCGGACCTTCTTGACTCCACCCCCTCCGTGGTCTCCGCTTCGTCCTCCCTCGCCAGCCCCGGCGGTACGGCTTCTGCCCACGGTTGTTCCAGGGGAGAAATAGTAAGCCGATGTCCTCGTCCGACCGCTCGGAACGCGGACGAAGTGGGCACTCTGTGAACCGTGCTCGTCGCAGTGAGTTGGATGCTCGCCGTCCACCCCCCACTTCACCGTTTTGCCGCATCCTTTCACACCGTGTGCGCTGCATTTCCGTGCGTAGTTGATCACGAGCCCGTCTGTAAGGTCTCCTTTGTGTTTGGCGCATACCGAACGCTTCCCGTCTGCCCAGTACCCCCAAATCGAATGACTTCCGCAACCTCCAGCGTAGGCGCAACGCTTGCTACGCACGTCCACCATGGACTCCTTGGCATGCCGCTTGCAGTACGCCCCCCTCTGGCTGCCGGCGAGATTGAAAACCGGCTGCTTCGTGCACCCTTCAGCGTGGGCGCAACGCTTGGCCACCACGTTCACCATGGAATCGTCGGCATGTCGCCTGCAGTACAAAGCGTTCTTTCTTCCCTCGTGGTTAAACGACGCCTTTGCCGTGCATTTCAAGGCCCAACATTTAGTTGGCATTTGTGCCCACCAACAATGTGATCACGGAAGCGGAGGTTTTATAGACGATGGCGCACGCCGCGTTTCCCCTGTGCGAGTTCGAGAAGTAGGGGGTATAGGATCGTATTAGTTGACTCTACAAAGCTTACGATATGCCGGAACGGCGAGCTACAAATATAGACCATTCTACATGTCGCGAATAGCCAATGATGGGCACTGAGAGGGCGATACCGTAAAGTAAAAGTCAAGGCCATACCCTAACGCATTTGCAGCGTTCTCGGAAGTCACGCACAGAGAGCGGGGTGCAAAATACTCTGTCTCTCTCTCGCTAAAATGGCTAACATTACCATTATATTACTCCGAGAGGGAAAGGAAGGGGTTCATCCGGGATTCAGCCAAACAGTGGACAGTGAGCTTCCCGTGAATCGCAACCCACAAGCGTCAGCAAGCCATTTGCAAAGAGGTTGGGCATTCCTGAATCCAGCGTTCGCTGAACACACACACTCGGCTCACAAAAAGATAATTTGCTGGTAGTGGACATCACAGACAATGTCGGCCAGGGAACGATCACGATGTGGTTTGGAAGAATCTGAGAGAGAGCTGGCCTGACATATGGTGTCATTGTCTTTTGTTTGCAAGCTCAAAAGGGTGCTTGTGTGAAAAGGAGTCGGCCTTTGTGGGCTTCGTTCATGGGTGCAATAGGAGGTAGGAGAGCGAACCTGAAGTAGTACACGCTCGACGCAGGTGAGCCTTTCGATCACGCAGCGAATCGAACATGAACGACACTCGCACCAAAACAGAGGGTATCATCCTCTTCCACCTGCAGAAACCGCTAAGACAACCTTGACCTACACCGTAAGGGCCAGCAGGCTGAACACAACCACCGGGTTGCCTGTAGGCTGTACTAACGCTGTAGCTAGACATGCCTCCAAGGATACTGGACAATGAACACACAAAGCGTACACACCGAGCGTGACCCGCTCAAATCTCCCTTGAGAGCAGCAGCACCGAGGAGAGCAGCGACACAGGACTCCGACGACGCGGGTAGGCGATCGCAGGAGGCGGCCTCAGGAGGCGGCTGCGTGACGTGCAGTGCTGGGGAATGACGGTCTTGGTCTTGTAAGGTGGGTGATAATGCTCTTGTCTTCAGCGTGTGAGGGTAACATCAGGGAGTGAGGCTCCGCGCACCACTCATAGTTGAACATCAAGAATGCTTTCGCAGTATCGTTAGATATCGTTGGCGGTAATATCGTTGTGTGTTTTTCAGCCCATCATTATATTGCACTCTGGAGAACGCGTTTGTCTCCCTTTTGACGCACCGTCGCCTTCAATTTATGTTCCGATATGAATAGACTCAACTCATTCCGGGCTTGTTTGGCTCACACCTGCATCCTCTATGGGTCGCTTCGAACAGCCAAGAAGGCAACGCATCACCACCCAAGGCACCCGCCAGTAGCACCGCCAGTAGCACCCGGGAGTATTTCCGCCTTCGATGTGGATTGGTTGTATCAAGGTGTGTATGCCTATGGTACGAGAGCGATAGCCAAGAGACCTATGCTACCGGCGCTTGTGAGATCAGATTTCCCCAGGGTATGTCCAGGCTTCACAGCAGCGATACCAGGGGCGTTCTTGTTTCCAAAATCGGCGGAACGATCACAAAACAAAAGGCAAAAGTACAAGTAGGCCGTGGTATGAAATCGAGCCTCGAAAACTCAGTATCAACAAAGCCAGGCACCTTTTCAGTCCCAGTAGCCTTCGTAGGGTTTTTCCTAATATGCAGACATGTTGGAAAAAAGCATACAATCGGAGAAGTTGGTTTGGGTTTAGGGTTAGGCAATAGGATCTGCTTGCCCTCTCCCTCCTTGTTCTATATCCTCCAAAACTTATTGATCGCGCGAGCGGTCCCATATTGTGGAGCTATCCCTAGAACAATACCTATAGTCGCAGCATGACAGGAGGAAAAGACTTGGCTCCATGTGGAAAATGGAAAACGCTACTGCCCGTTCTAAAGTCCCTTGTGGTACAAGATCCCATGTTTCTCTTTTGACCGACGAAAAATTGTCAACAGCAGTGGTCAAGGGGTGCCGAGCGGCTCCGCACGATCGGCTGGCCCCCATGCACGGTATTGACTGGGGACATCCGGGCGCGTCTGGACCAGGTCCTAGCGTAGGGTATACCCCCCGGCGATTTTCCGGCTTTTATCGGTCCTGTGTCACCCCTAGCGCCTCCTGTAGCCGCCGTAGGTCTCGCAACTTGAGCCGGACTATCGCCAACCAACCCCTGCCTAGCGGCTAGCGTACGATTGATCAGAGGCGTGGTGGAAACGATGGGGAAACATTATGAAAACCGGTCAGTTGCGTGGGGCCTACTAGATATCCATGATACGCACACCTATTCAAAATGAGGCATTAACGGAACAACGTGGGTAGCGTCTTGGAAAAGGCTAATCAAACACGGGACAAAAACTGGACAAGATGTTAGCGAAGCAGAGTCCAGTGCGCTTGCAGCTAACCTATGCGCGTATATTTGCACCCCGGGTTAGACAACACAATCGCAGAGCGTACAAAATAATCGTTTGAGGACTGGGTGTTTGCCTAGAACTCGCTGCATGTACATACAAGATTTTGGTCCCTTTTCATGCTTCGGCATTTTTTTCTCTCGCGGCAGCGAGTCATTTATCGCAAGTTCTTCTCAGGGGCACACAGGAGGCTCGTTCGGTACTTCAATGCCCGTGCCCGGAGCTCGGTAGGCCTCCGTGGCGCGTGTGGTTGACGGCCAAAGTTACGAAAACATGCTCAAAACCCCGGGGGCGCGTTCCGCGCTGACAAAGCCTGGCGAATCAATTCTGAAACCTATCAAACCCATCAAATACGACGGTTTGAAATATTTGCCTCTTTGCTTCTCCACTTTCATTCGTTCATTCATTCATTTGTTCGATGATTCATGGCTGTGACTCTTCGTGTCATCGAATTGTCCAACAGCAGTACCTACGTTTACTACACTTCGCAGCGGGCCAAGTGTAGACAAGTCTGAGAACATGCATCCAGCCGCAGTGTTGCACACGTCCCATTTGTCGTGTTGTTTCGGCTTCAAATTCGGTTCTCATTGGAAATTTGCCGTCATCAATCAAAGACATCATGGAAGTCTGAGTTTTCGCTGCCAAAATATTGTCCGCTCGAGCTGGCTCCAATGTAGAATAATAACGTGCGCGATGTTTCGTGCGGGAACACAAGCG